GAGAGAGAGAGAGAGAGAGAGAGAGAGAGAGAGAGAGAGAGAGAGAGAGAGAGAGAGAGAGAGAGAGAGAGAGAGAGAGAGAGAGGTTCTTACTCGGCTTACGTGGCTGTCCCATATACTTGGGATTTTACGGTTTCTGTGGGAGGAAGGAAGGAGCAAGCGGTGATGGGGGTCTCGTGTTCATGCATGAACGAAGTTCTCCGGAGAAAGAACGGAGGATGGAACAAACACACGCCAGTGGATTTGGATCGGTTCGTCGGCATGGCGCGCATCGAGATCGAAGAGGTAAGCGAGTGGATTAAGTAACTCCCATCTTCACCCGAATAGAACGTCTGGACTGAAAGTTGGCCCAAACGCATACAGCTATAATGGCCGGTCGCTCTACGCCGGTGAAGATGGTAGGAACTCATGAGCTGTGGAATAGACAAGTGGTTGACTTGCCCCTATAAGAAACCAGCGCCTAATCCAGATCCCGACGGAGGTGGCTCTGAGGTAACCATAAGTTCCCAATTTCCATCTCAAAGCCACCTCCGTCGGGATCTGGATTAGGCGCTGGTTCCGATGGAGGCTCTTCTTGCGCCTAATCCAGATCCCAACGGAGGTGACTCTGAGGTAACGATGGGTTCCCCATTTCTTATAGCGCCTAATCCAGATCCCGACGGAGGTGGCTCTGAGGCAACCAAGAGCTCCCAATATCTCACTCAAAGCCACCTCCGTCGGGATCTGGATTCGGCGCTGGTTCCCACGGAGGCTCTTATTGCGCCTAATCCAGATCCCGACGGAGGTGACTCTGAGGTAACGATAGGTTCCCCATTTCTTATAGCGCCTAATCCAGATCCCGACGGAGGTGGCTCTGAGGCAACCAAGAGTTCCCAATATCCCACTCAAAGCCACCCCCGTCGGGATCTGGATTAGGCGCTGGTTCCAACGGAGGCTCTTATAGCGCCTAATCCAGATCCCGACGGAGTTGGCTCTGAGGTAACGATAGGTTCCCCATTTCTTATAGCGCCTAATCCAGATCCCGACGGAGGTGGCTCTGAGGTGACGATAGCACAAGAAAAAATAGTTGGGGGGCGGCAGAGGCCGGGGGTGAAAATAAATAAATAAAAAATAATGGTTTAAGTCCCCGTTTAACACGTTTAACACGTGTTATCTTTGGAAAATAGCGAAACAACCCTTAACACCAAGAGCTAATCCAAAATCGCCATCCTGTCCGTCCTCTTCGAATTCGTTGCTTTTGTGTCCCTTTCTCTAGCGCCTTAATTTGCAGTCTTTCTCCTCCCCTCTCCTGTGCTTCCCCCTTCTCCCCCCCCCCCCTCTCCCCTGCCGGCCCTGCCTAGCGCCTTAATTTGCAGTCTTTCTCCTCCCCTCTCCTGTGCTTCCCCCTTCTCCCCCCCCCCCCCCCCCCCCCCCCCCCCCCCCCCCCTTCCTCTGCTATTTTTTGTGTTTCTTCTGGTTGAGAAATTCTTCTTTCTTTCTTCTTTCTCTGATTCTTTTTTATTTAAAATCGTTTCCCTTTTTTCTTTTTTCCTGTCTGTCCTTCCCGCGAAAGGTCGCTTTTTTTGGGGGGGGGGGGGAAATATAAAGAGTAGAAAAGTTGCTCTTTTCTGCTCTTTTTTGTTTTTTTTTGCATTGCTTTCTGATTGTTGACGTCTTGTTCTATTTTCTTGTCCTTGTTCACGGGTTCTCCTCGATTGGTTCTGGCTTTCCTTCATATTTCCTGCCAATCTTTTTTTGCAGCGGACTTTTCCAACGTTTTTTTTTCTTTTTTTGCGCCCCCC